CAAAAACCACTCTTTTGCCTGATGATATCCCCATCACCCCTAAAGAAAGAGCCTTGACCATAAAGACAGAAGAACATCTGAAACCACTGCTATGCACATAGACTAATTCAGTAATTATTAGCCAACAGAAAAAGAAGAGAATGTCTATACAGCACAGCATTTAAGACGTGCTGCATGGAATGATTAGACCTTGTCCTGGTTTCAGGAGACCCCTCATGAGACTCTTAATCTCAGGGTCATGGGTTCCAGCCCTGTGTTTGGCTGCCAACTGGGTTTAAACCATGACAGATCTAATCCCTGTTCCATTTAATACAGAAGACTGAAATATTCTCTGAAAGAGAAATTAGAATCCTGGTCTCCTCATGAATAAATAACACTTTCATAGGAACACTTGATAAGACTCATTTCCAAAATTTTCACCCTTCTGCACTCTCTTTAAACACAGAATATGAAACCCTGTCCTCCTGTGCAAGGGAGTAAGCTGAACTGCCACGTGATTATCTACACACAGGCAAATAAATTAAAGCAATGGCCCCAGGACTTTCCCTGACTGTGTTTTGTCAAAGCAAACTCCAGCCATCAGACAAGGAGATAGGAGTTCACATCATGACCAGCTGGAGGTACCCAAATTTGAAGATTAAGGGTAAAACTCAATCCTACATTCAGCCTTGTGTCTTAACTTGAAGGCTCCTCTGGTCAATGTCATCATCTTCTGGATTGGACTCTGCAGCACCTAGATCACCTGTAGCTCAAAACATACCCATGCTGGGACACTGGGTTGCTCTAGGCACTCCAAGCTTGGGTTCCTACAGTATTTTTCTGAAATCAGCTTTCAGTCACTTCAGGAAGGATTCCAGATCACTTATGAGTTCTACAGATTTAAAACCTATTTTAACCCTGAATTCCACTTCTTTAAAGCATTCTAGGTATATGTTACTCAGGCTTGCCCACAAACAGCAAGAGATGAGGGTGCCCAAACTGGACAGCAATGAAATTATATTGGGCCACTCTAATCTGTTTCCCCTTTTTCTACAGTTCTGAAAGTTGGGGAGGCTCATTTACTATTTTCATATCTATAAACTACTAACGTGCAAAATCTATCTTGACACTGTTAAATGAATTTAAAACAAGATCGGTGAATGCATGCAAATAGAAATGATCCAAATTAAAGCAAAAATCAACCTAGCCCAAAGCAAATCAATAGCCTTCACACAGATTTGTATTCACACATTTATGAGTGATTTAGGTAACTTTTAGTTACCTAAGGACACCTTTAGGACACCTTTACTGAAGTTGGTAGAAGAGGCCTCAAGGTGTGGTTTTAAACCAATTTAATTAAAACAGTACAAAAAGTTGTGCTCAGCCTCCTAGATATGATTAGTGTTCCAGCTTCATGAATTAGCCAGGTATTGGTTTAGCTGCAGTAATTGTGCATGCAAGCCTAAACCTGTGTCTAACAACAGGCAAAGTGTGATTAATCCCAGGGAAATCTGGTAAGAAATGAGTATGTTTAGTATCTGCTTTTAAATTCATCCTCTACTAATAGTTAAATTTACTTGCAGTATGAACGGTGCATGATTCTATTAATACTGACCAAGGGAAATGGAACCTAGAACTCTTAACATCAGTGGGTAGGTACCCAATCAGTGGGTAATAATGTTTTAGGCAACTTTCATAATATACGGTGATAGAAATTCCCAGATGCTTAGTTAGATATGACATTTATATTAATTTATAGGATGGAACTCACTAGGGCAGGTAATACTAATAAAAACAACCAACCACAACTTTGGGGAATGTGCTGTGTGCTCAGCATGTTAAGCAGAATCTACCCCTAACATTATACTGAAACCAAGAAGACTGGAGAGACCGACATTTCCATCTGCAGTTTCCAATTAAAACATGCATTATTTATAGCAGTAGAATCTTTGCCTGAATATAACAAGCCAAAGAATCCTTTGTTAACTCTGTTACAGGCTCTAACTTATGCTGAGGATGCACTTTGTGAAACTACTGTTCTATGAAAGATCTTTTCTGACAGCAAAGGGAGGTAAGAAGGAAAGGGAATGCAAGGGACAGTTTATTCAAGAGGAAGGACAGTTCATTTAACAGTTTTAGAACAGTCACACAGAAAACCTGCCTCAGTTTCCCCTCAGACTTGCATAAGTTAACACAAACCCCCCACCCCCCACATCACTGTTTACTGGTTTACACAGGAAGAAAACTAACTCAGATATTCCTAGAAAAATTGTGCTTGGAGCCAGAAGCAGACTTGGAAGATTTGTAATATGTATGACAGTTGAACTAGAAACTAATTTTTTACCGATCTAACTATATTTAAAATATTTCATATTAATAAACAATAGTTTTGCATGATAGCCATTTTAGTCTTCTATCAGGAGCTACTCCTGAATGACCAGGGTGCGTGGACTTTTGATAAAAGGCTAGTATTCCAAGATGTCTAACACAACAAACAAGAAACATTATTACTTTCTGTTCCTTTTCTAGAGAGCAAGGTAGTATTTCTGATAGATCATGTTATATTGAAGGATTACTAACAAGGACACATCAAAATCCTTCACTTTACTGCAGAATTACTGTACTGCCTGAAGCTAGTATAAAGAACAGATTAGAATTTGGCTCTATAAATCATACCTTATACATATAAAAACTGCTATCAGCAGTCAGTCTTTTCAGTAAACTGACTAATGTTGACTATTTCTGCCCACTTACAATAGGCTAATAAATATGTAAAAAAGAAATAAAGCACTTATTTTATATCCAAGAACCCATTCTTAATTAAATTATGAAGAATACTATACAGACTGTACTAAAAACAGTGGGAAAAAAATTGGAAAAAAAAATCAGCACATTAAAAATTCTAGTGGGCATGCAACTGCACCATTCTACGCCTGCATCTCTGCTACTCCAAGCTGTAAAGCTCAAATGCTAAGGTTGAGCTTTGTGCTTATATGAAAGATGTGAAAACAGGATAGAATGCTGCCAGAAGTAATCTCTTGTAATTACTAGTAATTTAGTAAGTGGCATAAACCATCCTTCACAATATTGCTGAATAATTTCCCTGGAAAAGTAGGTATTAGATTGCTTACACCACAATTGTCAAGGTGACATCAAAATGAAAGCTCAGTTCACTTACCAGCTATTAAAGTCCTCTTGTGCTTTTTGCAAGATTGGGACTGTTGATCTGAGTTTTGGCTGAATTCCAGTTTCATTAATTAAATTCCACATATCTACATCCCCTCTGCAGATCGCATCTTTTGCTACTGCAAAATGCTATTAAACAACAAAAATGTTAAGTCAATGTCCTCTGGGCCTAACATCAACAAGGATCAAAATATTTCCCCAATGCAAAGTTGGTGAAAAGCTGCTGGAATCCTTCAGAGTAAAATACTGCTGTTGTCATAAATGGGTACTTACCATTCAAGTAATTCAAGTTAAAGAACCATCAGACTATTGTACAAAAAAGTTAAAAATCACAGAATCCACTAGGTTGGAAAGGACCTTGAAGATCATCCAGTCCAATCATTAAACTCGCACTGACAGTTCCCAACTACACCACATCCCTCAGCACTATGTCGACCCAAATCTTAAACACCTCCAGGGATGGGGACTCCACCACCTCCCTGGGCAGCCCATTCCAACACCTAACAACCCCTTCTGGAAAGAAATGCTTCCTAATATCCAGTCTAAACCTTCCCTGGCACAACGTGAGCCCATTCCCTCTTGTCCTATCGCTTACTACCAGGCTAAAGACGCTCATCCCCAGCTCTCTGCAACCTCCTTTCAGGTAGCTGTAGAGGGCGATGAGGTCTCCCCTCAGCCTCCTCCTCTCCAGACTAAACACCCCCAGTTCCCTCAGTCACTCCCATCTGGACCTGTGCTCCAGACCCTGCACCAGCTCCGTTGCCCTTCTCTGGACACGCTCGAGTCATTCAATGTCCTTTTTGTAGTGAGGGGCCCAAAACTGAACACAGGAATCGAAGTGCAGCCTCACCAGTGCCAAGTACAGGGGTGAGATCCCTTCCCTATCCCTGCTGGCCACGCTATTGCTGACACAAGCCAGGATGCCATTGGCCTGCTTGGCCACCTGGGCACACTGCTGGCTCCTGTTCATCCGGCTGTCAATCAACACCCCAGGTCCCTCTCTGACTGGCAGCTCTCCAGCCACTCCTCCCCAAGCCTGTAGCGCTGCTGGGGGTTGTTGTGGCCCAAGGGCAGCCCCTGGCATTTGGCCTTATGGAAACTCCTCCAGTTGGCCTCAGCCCATGGCTCCAGCCTGTCCAGGTCTCTCTGCAGAGCCTCCCTACCCTCGAGTAGATCAACACTCCCACCCAACTGGGTGTCATTTGCAAACTGACTGAGGGTGCACTCGATCTCCTCGTCTAGATCATCAATAAAGATGTTAAACAAGAGCGGCCCCAAAACTGAGCCCTGGGGGACACCACTCGTGACTGGCCACCAACTGGATTTAACTCCGTTCACCACAACTCTTTGGGCTCAGTCATCCAGCCATTTTTTTACTCAGCAAAGTGTGTGCCCTTCCAAGCCACAAGCAGCCAGTTTCGCCAGGAGGATGCTGTGGGAAACAGCGTCAAAGGTCTTACTAAATGCTGCAGTGGAAACTGTACTAAGGAAAGAAAATACTTCCCATTAGTAATTATGTATGTACCCAGTTGCAAATGTCCAACTATTATACTTCCAGATGAAGAGGACCCAAGTGTTTATGTTTGATATGCATTTCCAACCTTTTCTGTTCCAACTGTACAACAGGAAGATGAGGTCTCTGACGCTCATCAGTTTCTAACAGTATGAGAATTTTTTCTGAAAAAAGTTTCTCTAATTCTTTTAATAAAGATTCTACCTACAATTTGCCAGTAGCTACTCTCCACATAACTCTCTTAGTAATATTTTCCTGTAGATCAAGTAATCTAAAACTTACCTGAAGGGAAACCTCTATCCTGTTGAAGTAGTATATTCTTTACAATTGTGTTTAAGAGAGCAGTGTAGGCACACTTCAGTCACTATTTGATTCTGTCTGGTAGGAAGTTGTGATGTTAGGTTTTTTATTTTTAGCAAGAGTTACATTTCCTGAGTAACACTCATAGCTAACAACAGAATCCACAAAACCACCATAGTCAAAGAATAAATGTGGAGTCTTAGAGTAAAACCAGTCCTCTAACAACCTAAATTTAGAAAGTATTCCATTCTTCTAATTTAATCTTTTTTTAAAGTAAGCAATTTCTATTTGGCTAAATAAGGTACAGATGTATTTAACCAATGAATTTTCAAGTCAAGTTTATTTGATGTCATATATCAATAGTTTATATTTTTACTTCAACGCTGGATTAGCTTTTGATAATAGACACGATTTGTTATAAAAAATAACCATGAAGAGACTTAGTTAACCACATTATGACTGCTATGGCATCAGTAGATTTTCTTGTTCATTTATTATTTTATATAGAGACCTGTATTAAAAATGAGAGATGTAGTATAGAAATGACCTGTAGGGTTCAATGTCAGCTTTGGACATTTCAACAGATTCTACCTTGAAATGTCAAACTCTCCATTTGTAAGTAAGTGAAATATATCAGCAAGAGGTGACCAGAACAAAAATCAACACATCCACCCTTTGTGCCACACCAGTCTTCGTGTGCCTCTCAGCAAACCAGAGGCACAATCTGTATCGTAATGCACACAGAGCTTTTTTGGGAAGATGATTCTAAGTGCTTCTAACTACCACATAAGGATGGTTTCTTCTCGTTTTCCAGATAATCCCTGTCTTTCAGCAGAAAAGTCTGACAATGCCAACAGCTTCTTTATTTGCCAGGATGCTCTGGTGGCAGTTTAAGCATGAAGAACCTAGTGTTCCACAGGAAGTGATCTGAGGGTAAATGTGGGCTGGGAACTGGTTAATGAGGTTCCTGAACCCAGATGATATTTCTTAATGTTTTTTTGGAGAAGTTGCTTGTCACGGGAAGAACAGCAGCAAAAACTACAGTCAAATGCCTCACCAGTGTGATTCCAAGCTCTTCTTCCGAATGCTGTAAAAAAATTAAAAATGTATCAGTCATTAGTAGCATCAGTAGCAGTGAGCACTGCACAAGCAACCATATACAGGCTGTAAGAGAACCCAGACTTAGACTTGTGGGTTAGTCTCAGCACTTATTACCTAACATCAAACAATCAGATTTCAAAACTTAACAATTTGTAATGTAAGCTTCTCCAAATTTAAGGTTTTCCTTAAACAGATATGGAGGATCTGTTTATTTTGGCAACAACTATTTGCAGCCCTATCAGCTAAGAAATTAAAATAATCATGTACAGTAGGATTCATCCCACATGATGTTAGCAAACAGGCACATTATCTTCTAGCTCTTCTCTGTAAAGTTAACTGTAAGCAGGCAGTGAGTCACCCTAATGGGGGCAAATTAGCCCCCCCATTTAAGTAACGTCTCATATGATATTAAGACGTCTTGTGGGAATGCCCATCATTCTCCACTGAGTACAGAAGGGGATCCACAGAGAGGCCAGATTAAACAACCAGCTAAATTGGCTTAAATTCATTCTTAGACTTAGCACTGTATACACCATACCAGTTTAAAAACCTCATGGTTAGTGCTGGAAATATTTACAGGTTTTTTATATTCAGGGTTGTGGTACTTAGGTGGTGGTGTTATTTAAGCGGATGCAACAAACAAAAGACTCTATCCTTTCTTAAAATATGCTTAATCAGAAAAACATACCTTAAACCCTATTTCCAATCACAACTAACAAAAAATGTAATTGGCTGATTTGTCACATAAGAAAATATTTTACTACACAGGCATAGAAAAACTTGTCGCTTTCAAGTTAAGATTTACACAAAAGATGAAATATTTTCCCCATACGTTCTTATTAAAGCAGCACAGAAATCTATAAATCCCTATCTGTATAATCGTCAGGAAAGCACAACTTCCAGGAAATCCTCTTGAAGTCTTTTGACAGCAAAACTACCAAAAACGTGAACTTATCAGATTCTGTGCCATCAGAAGCACTCATCTGACTCTTCACGCTCACTAAGCAAGGCAGAGATCTCAAGCAAATTTAAATCTCCTCTTCTATATAGCTCTGAGCTCTTGAAATGACAAAAGCCTTAAAAAAGCCTCTACCAGTTGTGAACAGCCCAGTAACACACACATTTAAATTCCTGATTTCATTATGTACATATATTTGTGTGTGTATGTATATCAATACATGGAGATACACTTTAAATTTGCATTTCACTGTAACCCTGATTTTTGATAAGCAGTTGCCACTTCGTATTTCACTGTATCAGTTTACATTCAATGTTACTGATAAACTCAAAAGCACAAATAGTCTTAATGGGTAACAGTCTGAATAATGAAACTTTTCTAATTTAATAGGAGTAAATAATAAATATTTATTCACAAACTAAATCACAATACTGGAAAAGTTTAGAGAAGATACTTTTCTGCATATTTCAACACTGCAGTTATGCCATCCTTAGTCCTGCTTACACTCAGATCTGTTTGTCTATGTGTGATTTCTACCCTTTGCACCTCACTTCTGAATACAGCCCAATGAATCAGTCCATGGGTTCTATGTGGGTGTAAAATATAAACTTGGGAACTGGAAAAGGGTGTTGGGTTTGTTGTGTTTTTGTTTTTTTTTTTTTTTTCTTTCACTTTTTCTCTTTTTATATTCCTCCTTTTGTTATATTTTTGATACAATTTCAGAAATAGAGGGTATTACATTCTACTGTGCTTAAGAATCTTAAGGCTATTACAGACCTGAAATAGATTACTTAAGAAAAAAAATCCCTTAGCTGTATTTACCCAATTCAGGCAAACTGTTTCACAAATGGAGATTTCAAACATCCAAACTATTTAGGTCTGGAACACTATGCAGGCATTTGCAATTACCACTATGATGACAGGAACTAGGTATTTTGTAAGTACAAATTTTACATATAAGAGTAGATTCAGACAGTATTATCATTTATTCTTACAGACACTGGTTAAAACGTTCACTTCCTGATCCCAGAGACTCTCATTACATAATAAGTTTTTAGCTGTTTCCTATAACTAAAGTTTGTCTGATAGGAGAGGAAATTGGGTTACTTGTGCCTACTACAGTAATGCATGAAGGTTACCAGTGTTACACTGTATCTATGGAGTTCACCACTACCATTCCCCTCAAATTTTCCAACCATTATTTTTCCCTGCTTATGTATCAGGACATACACGATACCTTCTACAAAGTAAGTATCTGCAAACAAATATCATCTTTGTAACAAGGCCAGTAAGTGACCATTCCATTACATGTATTTCCTTCATTTTTTGTTACAACATTTGGATAATGCTTACAATTCTGCACTTTTACACAGCCACCACAAAAATTAGGAAAAAAGCCTTTCTCCCTGCTATTATATTACTAGATACTGAAAAGCTCTCAGTGAAGGAATTTACTTTAGGCTTGAGGTATCTTATCACTTCTGATAGATGCGTTTCCAGATTTTAATTCTGGCATCAAAAGACTCTCCAAAAGGAGCACTAGTTTTGTAATCAGAATTACCTTTATTATGACAGATAAAGAAACAGAGTAAATTAAGCTTTATCCCACATAAGTAGCAAACCAAAACTAATCAAGTCATCTCTCCACCAAACACTGTATCTCTCAACAAGTGACTGGTGGACATTAGCTTATTTTAGTTTAAACCTTTCCAGTTTGAAAAACCCAAAGCAAACAGCACATCATTTGGCACACAGAGTTTAAACACACAAGAATTTAACATTTAAACAGCCTCTAAGGCTGCTAAGTACATACTTTCAACATGTACTTCAGCTTCACTAAGACTAAGTAATGCTCCCACTCATCACATGATGCACTTTGCCAACACTGCAAAATGAAATGTGTTAGCACTGTCAGAAATGTGATCATTTCCTCAATCGGTGGGGGCGGGCAGGAGGGAGGGTGGAATGAAAACACTACAAGCAAAGCTGAAGAGAAAATCAGCATGAAAAAGCAACATGGCACATCTAATATAGCAAATTAAGACATACAGTTAGTGAAGAACACATTTTTGTTTTTTATACAAGTCACTACCGTTTGGTTCAGTACTGCTTCACATGCAGACACAGATACTAACATCACCTTCCACTGGATGTTTTTGTATTTATCACATTAGTGTTCATGCATCTTCCAGCACAGTCAATGTAGTACTTATATACAGAAAGAGCCATAAAGAGGGGATAGAAAGCAACTCCTTTAAACAAAACAATATGAAGCCCCTTGGCCTTCATAGAGCCAAGCTCCCAATGGGAATATAATTAAATGCTTGACTTGGCTTTTATTAATGGGTAAGAGTGCAAACCTTAAAGTGTAGTGTGGTGGTGGCGGTGTTTTTTGAAAGCCAACAGGTTTACAGCATTTGTTAAACAGGGATTATTTACACTTACCAACTATATGAACAGAGTCAACATTTGTAGGGCCTCTCACTAGCACATGTTCAGAAGTGCTGCTGCAGAAAGCTTGCACCAATGGAGGCATAAGGGCAGATCTCACATCTGAAAACCTTTTCACCTACCAGGAAATGGAAAGCAAATATGAAGGTTGTCTTATCTTCTATGAGAACACAAAGTGTGTGTGAGAAATTCACAAGAATATCAGTGAATTAGCATTTACAGCATATCCTCAAAGCCACAGCTTATCTTTCACATGACCTTATTGCCAATAAAGATATACCATCTTAGATAATGGTATAGGTGGTTGAATGTTATAGTCTGTTTTACCAGTAGGAGACCTCCTGCATCTGAATTTGTCTTCCACCGTAAGTCTAATCAAGAAAAACTGGCCAGAACAATTTCCAAATTTAGTTTTTATCCTTTTTCCTGAATCAAAGTTCAGAGGTCCAACTTCCAGCATACTCTGTCACCAATTAAAAACAAACAAAACCCAAAAAAATCCCCCAGAAAGGGGAAATGTAGCAGAACAGGAAATTTTCAAGAAGCAAAAGGAAATTACATTAAGGAAAAGTAATTTTAACTTAATGAAGAAAACACACAAAGAATTTTCTGTAAAGACGGCAAGGACAACATTTAGGTCACAAACACAAAGGAAAACAATGACTTTCAATAACAAAAACATTGAGAGATACAGTCTTAAGGACTAGCCTTCCTTTTCATCTACATTCCCACTGACAATTTCTAATTTAAAATATTTATCTTCATGTTTTTCTGATGTATGAAAATTCTGAAATATTAGCCTTACAGTGGTGAACCTGAAACGAACCTAACCAGAATGAAACCACAGACTGAAAAAAACACCAGAATCGCAGAATGGTCAAGGCTTAATGAGACCTCTGGAAGTCGTTTGGTCTTATGCCCAAACAAGCAAATTTACTTCCATTTTTGCAGCCAAAACCAAAATAAACCACAAACCAAACAAGTAAATACATTTGAGTTTAAAAAAAAAAATTAAAATATTTCAAGAATCTAAGTCCTAACACCAGCCCTCGTATAGTAATAATTCTTCTCAAGACATTTCATGACAACATTACTACAAGTAACTCTCGAGCTCTAGTTTTATTAGAATTATCTTTTAAGAATTAATGCAGGGGATATCACATTGTGTGACAATTGCATAGTCAGCATGATGTGGAATTCAAAGCATTTTCTATGTTTACCCCCAGTTGTCAATGGCTTGATACCTCAATAAGTTGCTTTTTCAGAGATAAGCACCTTCCTAAAACGCATTACATGTGTTTGCTGTAGGTTACATAGCAGGTCAGCAGCAGAACAATGAATAGGAGACAGTTCTGGATTTGCAATCCTTCTTCTAGACAGTAACATTGTCTTTGGTTTTTGCAAGAGTTTAACTTATTTTGTGTTGTTTCGGTCACTTGTCTACTTATGCACCTGATCATCATTAACAGCACCCGGCCACACTGCCTGGTCCGCTTCCTAGGAGAAGTCAATTATCTCTTCTTCGGGTATCTCTCCTTTTCTTGCACCTTTTGAAGCCCTGTCAGTTGCCTTCTACATAAGCTAAGAATATTTAATAGAGCAAATGTCTGTCTTTGAAGACATGGCATACTTGCTGCCACAGAGATTGAGAGCCATCTGTCCCAGTAGCATGAGAAGTCTATCAGCCCCCTTCACACCTATGGTTCCTGCCAGACATCTGTCTACTCTCCTCTGCCGCCGCGTGTGATGCCATGGCTCCAGCGCTGCGGGACGGAGCACCACCCACGTCGCTCAAGTATCGGAGCGTTGCACTCCTGCCAAACCACTGCAAGAGTATTTTATTTCTTCAACTTGCTGAAACATTAATTTTGTCAGTGCAGACAAAGGCAGATATTCCCTGTTCACTACACTGCCGGGTCCTATAGGACGAGTTCTCCACAAGATGATTTATTTAAATATTATCACAAGCAGCTAATTGGCTCCCCACTGTCCTGTCCACCCAGTCACTGCACACATCAAGCAGCAGTTTCAGAAGGCCATTAACGCAACATAGCACGTTCCCATCCTATTCATTCAGTTAAACTTATTTTCTAATCCTGTAAAATGCTCAGTTCAGAAGAAAGGGGAAAGGCTTCACTTTTTAAATACCAACAGTTCCAAGCAGACAGTGCTACAACATCCATTCTTTTATGTAATTCAGAATTTCTAATGCAAGTGCCTTTTTTGGCAGAATGATGGACTTAATTATGGCAACACAAAGTCTATGTAAACAAATCACTTGACCAAGACAGAAGGAACCTCAGAGCATCAGTCTGGGGGTTTGGGCCTCTGAGGCTGGGCCTTTGATAGAGGTTCAACATTTAAAACAGAAAACTGAAGCAGGAAGATTTCCAGAAAGCAAAAGGGAATGTAGTCAAAGTGGACAAACAACAATCTATTACATTAGAAATTTTGAAATATGCTAATACGTGCAAGTTGATTTAAAAAGTTTTGAGAAGACATTCCCATTCTTTCCTGGACATGGAGTACCAGTACAGAAAAAAAATTATGAACTGGTTGAAGTCTACATCCCTCTGAGCTAGCAAAGATATCCTTTTCGGTTAAGGAGACAGGGACATAAGCTGTCCTTGTCTTTGCACTGTCTATACCTTTATATAACCATCTTCTGAATATAAGACCTAAACCAGGATCAAACATATCCTTAAAGAACAATATCTCTAAATGCCATAAAAAAAAAAAGGTTAAAAATTTGCCAGTTTTGTTAAATCAGGGTCACAGTGTTTGTTTTTTGCATATTCAGTGTAAGAGGGAGAACTACCAATAGGTAAAAAAATAACCCTTTTCTCTATAAATTCTTTTCATGTCCTACACAGCATTCAATATTCAACAGTACAGTCCATTTTTTTTTCTCTCTAAGCAGTGGTAACCTAAGTGGTAACATAAAGAAGAAATAGATGTAACCTACCTGTATGCATTTGCATCTGCTGTATCAGAGAGGCCTTGAGCCTGGTTTCGTACTTGCAGAGCTGGCAATGGAAGGCTTTGATGCCAGCATGTGTTCCCATGTGCTTCTGCAGAGCTAACTATAAGAACACTTCCTGTCAGAAAAGAAATGAACCTTGTCACGGCTGGAAAATCATCATCTATTCTTCCTGTGTAAGTATTCTGAAGGGATGACATTTCACAGTTCCTGTGTTAATTTAGGCTTTTAATGCCTTTTATTAGGAGTATTTAAGGCTATTAGTTAGGAAAGACTGATATCACTATGGGAGAGATGAGAGCACAAAAATTCCCATCAGACCTGTCTACATTCAAATACTTCAGTTATTATTTTATTATCTTTCAATTATTTATTTATATTCCCAGAATGACATACTCTTCTGTGTTGAAGTAATTTAGTAGCAGCCATTATTGAATAATGCAACATAATCATATTGGATTGTTATATTTTGATGTCTGAATGGTCCACCTAAGTTTTCTAGAAATTTACTGTCTGGCTGAAAAAGGCAGATTCTACCTTCTCCGCTGCATGACCTGCCACTATTTCAGGTCTGCAAGAAGAATGTATTTAAATGGAAAATTAATGCATATGAAAATTATATGTATGCTTATATACAAAGAGAGGATTCCTAGGGAACAAAACTGTAAAATGTTTGAAAAGGCCTACACAGATCACAGATCGGTTGTTCTAAATTCTTTGATTTTCCAGATTCTTCCCTACACCATGCTTAGAATACCTCAAAATCATTTAACTCTATGTCTCAAGCACTTAAAGTTCCTCAAAACTCAGCAACAAGGGAAGAAGTACTGGCTAGTCACAAGTTGAAACACAAGTCTATAATGCTGTAAGGTCACATCTTTCATGCACAATCATTTCAAAAGGAAAAATACAAGCATGGAAGAAATTTAAAATCCTTATCCTGTGGAAGTCAACTATAGGAGGTTTAAAAGGTGCTTACATCTCTATCCACATTATTGATCAGCACTCAGCAAAAGGAAACAACATCCTTTCAAATCACACCTGTAAATAATTAATTACTAAGTAAATACTATTCCCAAATACATGCACTTCATTCACGTTAGATGTAATAAACAAGATTAGTCATTCTTTAAACACTCTATAATGAAAACACATTTTCATGACACATTTGTGAAAGTAATTAAAGACCTGCTATTTTGAAAACAAAGTATTTCAGAAAACAATGAAATGACTTTATATTATACTCCAGACTTCTACTGGTAAAAGTATTCCTTCTAATTCTTAATTAAGAGTGACTCATGCAGCTGTTATTTTATGCAATGGTACTCAAAACATAAAAGATGCAAAAGGGGATTTAATCCTCAATTATTTGTGTGGATTAACACTTTCTTGCACCAGAGAAATCAAGCTTATATTGCCCAAAGAATAAAAGCCCTTAACTCGCATAAAGGAACTGAAATACTCAGGGGAGTTGTTGAAATGTTCGATGCATAGAAGGTGTGAAAGCTAAAAAAGTGATCTCAGTAGAACCAAGGACCTATATGGAAAAAATCAGGGATTTAAACAGTGGGCTTCAATATGAAAGCCAACTCTGAAAGGCAAGTTGTGCCATTCTGAATAATTCTTTGTAATAATTTCTCCCCTCTTCCCTAAACATTTGTGATCTTTCAAGAGGAAAAACCATCAACAAAAAAACCCCAAACAGCCTGTCAAACATTTAGATTCTAAACTCCTACAGAACAGACGGAACATTTTTAGAGCTATGAAGCAGAGACCAAAAATGCAGAGACTAATTTCTGTAATATCTTTGTGAATCCAAAAGAAGTACAGCAGTTCAAAGGTACAACGTGCTCATTCACAAGCTATGAAAATGTTCTTTGTTGCCATTTCTACTCCTTGAAATCAGAAAGAAAACTGTACTTTTTACACTTTTAAAGGATATGTCTTTCACAATGACATAGCAGAACAACCTTCCTTTGTTAGGGGATTAAATGCTTTGTAGAAAAGTAGAGCTATTTGGATTTTCTACCTGTTTGAACTACTCCTTAAAAGAAGTGTAAGCATAGCTGCCTACTTCCAGCATATTTAATAGTTTTAAATAGAGATTTCAGAATTCTGATAATGTTGCAGGCAGTGCCTATCTTATGCATCACTTGTGGTGCAGACTGCCCACAAATACTGATGTGTTCTTTTTTCCTTAATGAAAAAAGAAAAGAAGAAAGGGGGAGCGGGGAAGAGAGAAAAACAATTACTACGAGGGTCGGTTCCATCTTCTAAGGTTAAGGAGTGAAAGTCCAAAGGAACCTTTCATCCTTCAGATATAAATAAGGTGTATCTGAGACAGGAAATTCCAACCCATTAAGACCAAAGGGCCTTGAGTACTCTTGATCAAGTTTTAGGCTCCACAGAGGTCCCACATGCATTATAACACGATTTTAATGAAACAGGCAAGACTACTAATAAATCAGTCTTGTTAGGAATCAGTTTAATTCTTCCCAGTTAGCTTTTGAACACTGATTATAGGCAGCTGATACTCACTGATGCCACTACGATTTTCCCTTCTTTATATCAACTATTGGATAAAACTCAGCAACAGAAAAGGTTAGACTGCCCTCTCTCTGCGGCTTCATGCTAACTACCTGATCTGTAACTTGAGAATTAGGGCCACACACTTTCAAGAAATTCACAAAGGTAGGTATTAATCAGCACTTTCCCATAGTCATAAAAAGCCCTATACTCCAGTAATGATGTATGCCTCCATAAAGTTTTACATGATAAAACTGTACTCCATTGCTGAAATAAGACAATAAAATCTGGTAATAAGTTTAGTATCACTAGTATGCCCTGTGAATTGAGGTCTTTAACTCACATGCGCTGTCAGCAGAATGCACAAGTCATCCTTGTACATGAATGGATTAATACGCGAATTAAAAACTTCACTATATTTAGTGTATTCTCAGTTTTATTTTCTGATGGGAGAACAATGACTATAAGAACATAATTTTGAATTGTAATATTGCATTAATTTAACTTGAAATACATAAATATTTGAAAGACATTAAGCAAGACTTAGGTGACGTTATCTAATTATATCATGGAGTTCAGTTGTTCAGCTATTTTATACTTTAAAACATACATACATTTAATGCCATAGTTATAAAAAACTTAAACCTTCATATAGAACTGCCTTTTTTGTAAACTTGAAATAGCTTTTACTAAATAAATTCTACTACCTAATACTGAAAAGAATGAAGACTTACAATTAACACATTCCAGCTAGCCTTGTAGCAAATAAATTAGGTAGAAATCACAATTTTTACCGCTCACATCAGCAGGTAGTCTACACTGAGGACTATAGGCAAAAAGCAACACTGAAAAAGCATTTGAGAAGTAAAAGCCAGTGTGATGTTGTTCATTTGCTGCCCCCGTCTGGGAAAAACCAAAACAAACAAAAATGCACCACGAGACAGCAGGAAAATAGTTGTTCCCTGCATACCCTTACCCACACTTCTCTGATAACAACCTTGTGACAGCAGATCTTTTTCAGTTCAAAGCCATTTTTTAAAGTATCAGTAGACTCTAAAAATGTATTTCCCAAATGATTCTGTTAACTAGGTGTAATGAGAGACGATTCTGGGGAGAAAACGAGGCTACTTGCTTTGGCACTCTGGAGCTCTGCGTAGCAGCACAGACTGCGCACTCAGAGTCGCGGTCACCATCGCAGCAGTATCTTTATGCCATTCTGGCATCATCTATTCAACCTACGCTGCGGGACACAGCACGGACCTGGCTGCGATTCACAACAGGTTCTGTTCTGCCACCGGGTCAAGGCCTTTAGTGAAAGAAACAAGTGACAGCCACAGGCCGGTATTATGGCTAATTGGTAGTTTCATTAGTTTGCCCTTCAAAGAGGCTGCAAGAAAAAAACAGTGTTAATATGAAGTTCGTTTTGCTGTACAGATAGCCCAGCAAAACTCGTCAGAACTAGGTATGAAAAGTTCAAGTTAGTTATTAATCTTTGCAGTAATTACAGGCATCATTCCAGAGAGAGCTCCAGAGCTCCAGTCTGTAAATGCTCTTTTTACTTCCGAAACAGAAAGAAATGTATTCATCAGATAATGACACATTTCATATGTAACCTCAGACTAAATCTAGATAGTCATAACTCCACTGGTTCAAAAATAACTGTGTAATGATATAATGATGTAAAGTGCTTAACCTTATACTTCTCCAACTTCTTTAAAACTGAGACAAGTTATTTCGAACACTGGGAGCAACCTCTCTACCCGCTGTGTGAATCTGTAATGACTGAACTGTGCTTTGACTATGACACAGCCTGTTAACTGACTAAATTTAAAAAGAAAGAAGGAAAAAACCCCAGATGCCTATGTGAAAGGTACACCATAAGCACATCAATCTACTCCCTTTCTACTCCCTACCTACTAGAAAAGCTGCTAATTCACTAGAACTAATCAGACCTTTGACCATCCAAACTCAAATTCATTTTTTTTTTTTTATTACAACAATTTCAGCAAGCTACTACAACAGGTATTTATTTCTTTCCACATGAGCAATGACAACTTCAAACTAGGAATCCAGATTGGGTATAGACAATTCAGTCCTAGTAAACAGTGTGGTAAAGAAGATATTTGGGGAAAAAGCTTTGACAATTTGAATTAATTAAAATACACAACTGTAGAAGTCAGAAAGTGATTTCTATAGTTAAACTGAAGGTATAGATTGTGAAAAAGTCTTCTAATAATGTAACAGACACAGGTATGGCCATAATCAATACCAACAACAAAAAGAACATCCCCAAACCCAAACTCACGTACTTAGAAGAAACATAGGGAAATGGAACGTACACTAACTTCTCTACCTACATACTAGAAAAGCTACCATTAGAATACTGTGTGATGTCAACTCATGGATGCGTGGCTACCACAGATTACTGCCTTCTTTATCAAAGGAAAAAAGACCTTTTCTGAATAACAGATAAGTATCAAATGCCTTCTCAAGATCTCTTTGGAAGAGAAGATGCACTTGAGATCAGACAAAACCTTAGTGTTAACTCTTACAACTTCAGATAAGTGGAATTTTGCATTAACTGATGTAATG